TAAGCAATGTGCTCTGTTTTTGTAATTTTGAAAGAGGCCAGTGAAAGAGGTTAAGCCAAGAATAACAATTATATTCTTTTTAGACATAAATAAAACTAAATATGTCCTTTGTTGAGGTCCATAAGTTAGATAAATCTTCCTTAGGATATCAGAAAGGCCATCATCAAAACTTTGCTCCGTTGCTGTCACCATCTTGCTGTTATGCTAGCAGAAAAGACGCTAAAAGTGACGCATCGAGAGTGACATGCTGCGACTGGTCTTGCCAGGTCTGGTTGGTGTCAATGGCGGTTTAACAGACTTAATTATGCTCCATGTAATGCAGTCTGGCTGTGTCAGGCTGGAGAGAATTAGTAATTAGATTACCTGGAGTTAATCCCCTGATACTCATGAGTTCTTCTCTTGAAAAAGAGCTCATGAACAAAATCAAAACAAAACCTCCTAACTCTAAGGGAACCCTACAAAGCATCATCTTTATCCGGATCGCCTACTGTAGATGCTCACTTTTTAAGAAGGACAGTTATGCTGGTCAGAATTCACAGAAAGAAGGCTCATGTAGAATATGGGAAAATACTGTATAAAAAAAAATTTAAAGCAGTTCTCCTAAGAGAACAGGACATTAACCAAATATATATAAAGCTACAATGGTAAGGTTGGGATCAAAATATAATCATTTACTGGAAAGACACTGTAAAAGTCTAGCTTTTAAAAATGTACTTTGTCAACATAATTATGATGTAACTGCTCTCTAAAACAGATATAAAGTTCTTGATCTTTTTAGTGTTGTAGATCTTTTACACTAGAACATGGCCTGTAAAGATCACGTTGAAATAGCATGAAACAAACGGGACAAAAGTATCATTCAGTGTGAGGGTTTTCTCTTTAATTTCCTGCCCATCCTTTCAGTAAACACCCATCTCATCTGCATGGTTATATCCTCCCAGTGCACCTTTGGTATTATTCTTTATCACCTACAATAATAAACTCTTAGCCCCCTTGTTACCAAATTATATTGTTGCTATAAAAGCCTACGGTTGATGCACTTAGCTGCTCGCCCCCATGTGACGCATTCAGCTGAGCATCGACAATATAATCAACATGTGCGTCTTGGCCTCATCCCTCAGTAAACAAATGAACAAATGAATGAACTTCTTACGATCCCATCTGGTCTCTACCTCTCTGACTAATGCCTTATTTATTAAAAGTAAAGGATTAATTCAGACTAATTAGTTCAGAAACGGCAAAGTCAACAGGCAAATGAATCCCAAAGTTACCTAGGAGGCACAAGGCGAATGAATTCTAGGTCAGTGCTCCTGTTTACCCTCCTCATTTCATTAGAAACCAGAAGAACTAACTAACAGAGACCGCTGTAGGGCTAAGCTTTCAGGAACCTTCTGTGTAATGCATTTCTCCTGTGTGCTTCCTGGCTGGGGATTTTCTGTGGTTACAGTCACTAAGCTGTGTTCTTCAGAGATCATTTGCATATTTTATGATTGTGGGTGAAAGAGGACAGCAGCTCAAAGAGGCAGGCAAGGGAGTGAGAAATCCAAGTTAGCACGGCTCTTAGGTGACCCATAACGGCCTGCCAGGTAAAAACTGCTCTATCAGTAGAAGCCCTAGGATGCGCTGATTGGTAAAAACTGCACAGCTTGGAGGTAAGTTGTTTTTGACAGTTTGTTTTCTCTAACAGAACACGTGCTTTGCGGCCAGGCCTCCTGTGATGATGTCTTTGCTGTGGCTGTTGTTCTTTTTGTTGCTCACTCTTGTACATCTGAGGCGTGTTCAGGCTCGGACCAGAGTACCGTAGCTGCCTGTTTTTCCCTGCCTCCTGTCTATATTAGACCCAGATCAAATAGAGTGCATTGTGTACTTCTTATCACATTTTAAAACATTTACTAAACTGGTCTAAATGACTGTAGAAAAACAAGAAACATGGAAAAATTATACCTACTTTTACAGAAATATCAGGTAAATAAGAAAAATACTGTTTATTGATTGATTTGGTTTGTGTATTCAAAAATCCTGTTTGCTCATCTGAAGGTGCAGTGAGCTTTAACCCCTCTTAAGCAATCTATTCCCATACTAATGATTTACCTTTGCTGCTTTAAATGGAGGCAAAGATGAGCGTATACCTTTGGACTGCATTATGTAGATGGTAAACGAATGTTCTTGATTGACATGCAGTAATGATTCACTAAGTGCTAAGATTTATCCCATAATTTTTATCCATCAATGTGATTCATTTCTAATGAGGGAGCAATTAGCAGAAAAATGTGATTGACAGAGTTGCTCAGCATGGCACAATTTTTAAAACCTCAACATTTTATTTTGCAGTGAAATTACCTGCACTAAATGCCCTGTAGCGCTATGACCTGTTGGAAAGGAGCTGTAACATTATGAGAGCATTTTACTGTAACTGGGAGGGACAAGTGATATCTTTCTTTTCAGTGCATCACCAGGGTTCTCTGCTTATATACCACAGAAGGTTGGCTGCAATATAAAGTAAACCAAAGTGAAACCACTCTCCTAACACTTTGTTGACTTCCTCTTTCTTCTTAAGGCTGTTTAACATCTTTGTTTAAAGTCGATTCTTAAGGAGCTAACATTTCTAAGGACTTGTGTCCATATATACAGCATGTTATGACATCACACATTTAATGAAGCTGTTTTTCCATTACACCACATCTCTGCATTTGAGGCCAAGGGTCTCTAGCTGATGTAACTATGGTGCTCTATAATCTCTTAAGATAATTAGTACAGCATGGTCTGTCTTTGTAGACTAGTATTTTATGATGAGTTAGTCCTTTAGCGATAAGATTATTTATAAATATTTGTATATTTATAAATATATAAGCCTCTGCCACAACATTTATAAGCTCTATAGGCTAAATCCTGTTGAGATGCAGGGTTATCTCGAGGTGTACAGTAGATTTATCAAGCATAAACCAGGAGTAACAATCACATGAAGACTGGTTTTATAACAACAGAAAGAATTATTTTAGTGTGTTATGTTTCTATTAAGTAGAATACTACCGTAAAGTTTACACTCAATTGTAATTTGTTGCTATTTATTTTAAAATGGGGGAAAATCAACAGTGCAGCAAGTAGCTTTACCTCAGGTTAGCTCAGTATAGAGACAAGGCCTTGTATTGGTTGGAAACATGCAAAATGAAACATGCAAAAGGTTTCAGATATTACAGGCTAACAATGAAACCAAACAACCCACTCATCGGTTTCAATTTGCATGTTTCCAAGCGATACAAGGCCTTGTCTCTATAAAGACTCAAACTCACTGCGGATCCAGACATTTGAATTGAGAAAGCTTCCTGGAGAGGTAGCGAAACGTATTCAAATCTTGGAAACCAAGTCCACTGGATTTTTTGAACTTTTATGGAATGACTATGACCTGGATGACTGAGAATCTTCATCAGCTCTTGTGTAGGAGTTCTTTACTGTACTAAAAAGTGTTATTGAAGTGCTATTAAAAGAGTGATCGCTTCAGGGGGGCAACAGCCAACACTACAACATCTAAGCAGCATCTGTAAGCAACCAAGCCCTATCTGCAGAATCAGGGGGACTTTCATACACTACAGTTATTATTACCTAATAAGTCAACAAGGAATCAAATGATAACATATTAAAAGTTTTGTCACATCTTGTTAGGTGCCAGTACCAGCTTGCAAGTAAAAAAGAACAAGCAAAGAATCAGTCTCATATTAGTTTTACTTTTGTGAGCAATTTCTCTTGTGGAAAAAAACAAAAAACAAACATTTTGCTCAGGATATCTTGACTTAATTAAGTCTCAGCTCTGTTTCACCAAAGCTGTAACACACAAGTTAACATGTTGATTTATTCTGTGCAGCTAGCCAGCCCTAGACCAGGGTAAAAAAGGCACCAGGAGCAAGCAAGCAAGGCTTGTTTGGTCCTGGTGTCTCGCTGAAAACAAGTACATTTTGCAGTAACAAGGCTTTAATGTAAACTATTGTACATCAGCCTTTTGCTGCCAATTGCTCATTTTTATATAAGTCAGGAAAGTATGACTCTTAAATAAGCAGTTTTCTAATTGTTCTCATAAGATGATTCAACCTCTCTATGCTTTATTTTAGCATCATAAAAGTCAATCCCTCTAAAGTCATAATATTAACACTAACTCCAAACACAAAATACCAGTACATTTTAAACCTAACAAAACCCTTAGACAGAGGCTAGTGCATCCTAAGGACAAAACCCCCAAACCAAATATGAGCGGAGTGGTTTATGCAGTTCAGTGCAGTNAACCTAACAAAACCCTTAGACAGAGGCTAGTGCATCCTAAGGACAAAACCCCCAAACCAAATATGAGCGGAGTGGTTTATGCAGTTCAGTGCAGTAAGGAATAATCTGATCCTTATATTGGAGAAAGCAAATAACCTCTTTTTTTAAGCATTTCTGGAAATGCTTTTTCATTTTCAAATTTTACATTTCAAATTGAATTTTCGTATGTATTTACTAGGGTACCTTTTGAAAAATAAATCTCAAATGTCTCTTTCTTTTTCATTTTAATTAAGTAAAAGGATGAGCAGTCTTGAAAAAGAAAATGAAAATGCACATCGGATTATTGATTAATAATTTTATTTATGAGTCAAGTAATGCAGCCACATTTTTAAAATAAAAAAGCATTTCTGGAAATGCTTTTTGATTTTCAAATTTTACATTTCAAATTGAATTTTGGTATGTATTTGCTGGCGTACATTTTGAAAAATAAATCTCAAATGTCTTTTTCTTTTTCATTTAAATTAAGTAAAAGAATGAGCAGTGTTGAAGAAGAAGATGAAAATGCAAACAGGATTATTGATTACTAATTTCATTTATAAGTCAAACGATGCAGCCACATTTTTAAAATGAAAAAGCATTTCTGAAAATGCTTTTTCATTTTAAATATGGTAACGATTCACTTCCATACATAACAAACCGTGCATCGTCTGCAATATAGTAGCAGTCGAACCGATCCGTCTATCAATCTCTTGCTCGATTCTCCATCATTGGTGAACAAGACCCCAAGATACTTGAACTCCTCCACTTGATGCAGAAACTCTCATCCAACCCTGATAAAAAGAAAAGGTGTTGTCTGTAAACGCAGGACTTTATTGTAGCTCCAAACACAAATGTTTTCCTTTACAACTGTCTGGTTGGGTGGGGGTTTGAGGAGAAGGACCCAAATGCAGAGACTGAAGGTGAAGTGGTTTCTTGCAGGTTTAGTCACAAAAAGGTTAACAGAAGAAAAAAACCCAAACACAATCCAAAAAATGCAAAAATACGGAAAACTTGGAATACTCACAACAAGGAAGCCAAGAAATTACGACAAACCAGCAAGCAGTGACTAAGCAGGTGATGCATATATGATAGAAAGAAACAAAGACGAGGGTAATCAGCTGATTGGGAGCAGAGGGAAACAGAGGAATCTAGAAGGGAGCAAGGGTAAAGAAGACCGATACAAGAGGGCAACGGAGGGCGAACAAGAAATACCTAAGAACTCAAATACAATAAAACATAACTAGAATAACACAAAATGAAAAAAAAAACAACCATGAAGATTTAAAGATAAAACTTCAACAGAACCAAGACCATTTCAACAACGGAATTTCCATTTTCAAAATTTACCCAACAATTTCCTGTATGAGTGTTAACACTTGTCTGGGTAAGTATTAGATGCCGTAACTTCACATTACCACCCTTATTGTTAGTATTAATTTGGGGCATTGTCAGACACTGTATAAGTGTAACACAATTGTATTTTTTCCACTTTAAAATAATTTATTTCATATATTTGGGGATTTATCAACCTGTTAGTGATTACAGTAAAATCAGTAGCTTAATAAAGCACCTGAAAAGATGATTTTTTTCAACCAGCTTTTATTGTCATGACATTGTCACAAGTACAGAGCAACGAAATGAACCCTCTGAATTTAAACCACCCCCCTTAGGGGGCAGTTGGCTGCCATTGTGCAGGGTTAAGGGTCTTGCTCAGGGACCCAGATTGGCAGTCTGTGGGAGAGGGTTCTCCTAGTGAAAAACATTCAGAATGAGAGTTGAAAACATTATTTCAACCAAACTTTATCCATATTGAGTACATATCCAGTAACAGTGGATTTCTATTACTTCACTGAAAGCACAAATAACTCTCCCATTATGAGCTATTTATTTGTTTTCAAATATAATATCAGCCCAACCCCTTGTGGAGTTTCCTAACACAAGGGTGCAGCAGCATAATTTGGCCATATTGTCCTCTCCAGCATGGCATAATTCTAACCACAAACAAGTAATTATGAGTGTGCGCTAGAGTCAGTCTATCGAGAAAATGAATAGCTGTAGAGAAGGGCTTTTCTTCATCATGTGTAACATTATTGCAGTGTATAAATGCTATTTGCTGATGAGGACACAGCAATGTTCTGAATGTAAACTGGAATAGGAAGATTATCTTGGCACCGTAATAATTACGGTGTGAAAGACATGTAGCAGGTTATTTGATTTCACAGCATTAAATCTATTTTAGCATAATCTATTGTTCTGTCTTTTAGAGGCATATATTGCAGGGTTGAGCTATGATCCCTGAGTAGAAATGGAGGGAAGGTGCTTATATCATTGAGGGACTCTCATCTTTCTTTGCTGAGAATTC